ATTTATCATATTTATAATAATCTTTTATATGTATCTTTTATAGTAGTATTTATTAAATTGCTGAAAGATTACAATTGTTCCATCTATGTTATGTATTTTGAGTTACGTGTGAGTTCCATTACATTTTTAAGAATTGTTATGTATTATATACGTAACAAAGAAATATATCTTTGTTCTTCTAAAGTGCCCTCAAAATTATATTGCATTTACATATCATCTCTGTAACTATGAAATATATCATTGTTCTTTCCATGTGCTCCCTTAGTTATATTACAGTTACGTATTGGTTTGCTGGGAGCTAATTACCGTTTTGAAAAACGTCGCTTTTTCGAAGAAAAGTTGCCATTTTTTTGTTAGTTCATAAAATGAAGTAAAACTTACGTGATTCTTTAGTTAAAATGATGTATTTTAATAAAAAATTATTGTTGTTGCAGAAATAGAATAAAATATTTTTCCACATAGCCAGAAGTTGGGATATTTTCTGTTCATTTAATAGCAATTTGAATCTTTTTAATCAATCTTATTAGAAATAATTTTAATGAAAATTTTAAGAACAAATCTTGCCAATTTATAAAGTGAATTATTAATAAAAACCGTTTATATAATTAAAATTATATTAAAAAGTTCTGTTCATATATTATCATGGAAGTTAAGCAGAGAAAACAAATTGAATAAGATTATACATACAAATGTTTTATTTGTTTATTATAATGTAAAAAAAGAGAACAAATTACAATGTTTATAACGTAATGTAAAAAAAGGAACATATTACAATGATTATAAATGTGTAAAACGCTAAAAGTAGGCACCGATCTGGCACATACTATTTGAATAGACGTACGAATATGCACCATAACGAACTTGCAAAGTTAATATTTCGTTAATTTACACGAAACTGAAGCTGTGCATGTTCGTACCTGACACCTGAGGTACTGGGCATATTTAACGTAGTAGGGATAAGCCGCGACAAATGTCTCTGTGCAAATGCCAGAAATTCGAAAATTTTCGCGGTGCGAATTCGCACTCTTGTACCATTTGAAGGTTAATTAAGAGAATAATTTTTTGCTATATACTTTTCTCACATACAATGTTAATATCTTGTACTAAAGTTCTTCTACACTGAAGTAATTTTCCATTTGTCCTTAACTTTCTTCATTCACTACATTCGAACAATAATAAGTCGCAAACCGACATTAGAGATAAGACTATCGTCGTTTGCACCTCTAGCTCTTTCTCTCTCTTTCTCTTTCTTTTTTTCTATCTCCCCTCTTCCTTTTTCTCTCTATATCTATCTTTCCATCTATCTATCCATCTACTTATATATCAGTCTATCTTTCTCTTTCCATCTTCGTTTTACGTAGTGATTCTCATTGAATATACTTTTTTTATTTTCCGACAAACGTCACGTTGCATGGCAACAAGTCGCCCCGCTGGTTCGGCCAGAACATCCTAGCGGTCAGTGCAACATAACTGCACTTGCTTCTGCTGTACCGTGCCAGCTTGTGCAGGCTCGTAGCATTGCTATGTACCTTTGATGCATCTTACATACTGTCTTCTTAAATTTTTAAAGTAATTACTCTGTAAGATTGAGTTTATTCTGATTGTAGAATTTAGTTTAATTATATTCTGTTTGTATTTACTGTGTTGTTTGCGCTATTAAAAACATTACACATAAAATAAAAAATAATACATATATAAAATTATTTTTTATTAAATTATTTGTAAAATTATTTTGTAAAATTTAGTTTTTATATTTAGTGTAAATTTATGAAAACAAGTAAAAAAGGAATATTTATAATATATATTCATTATAAAAAATGGCCTGCAATTACAAAATATTAGCTTCTCTTGACATTACAAGCAAGCTAGTGTAGCAGTTTGAATGTTGTTTAGCTGGACCAGCGGCTATAATATTAAACTTGAGCTTGTGTAGATGATCCGAACATTTTTGGTTTGAGTGATTGATTTTTTGTATTAGTTTAATATCAACGGAATCTTTATTTATGCTGGAATGGACATTCTCAAGGCTCATAAATGCGACATAGAACAGGTGATGGAAATGAGACTTAGTTATATGAAGCCTGTATATATGTGTATCTTGCTTAGTTTATATTTAAAATATTTATGTCCATAAAATTGATATTTTTGAAAAATACATTTATTACTCTTACTTTAGTTTTGTTTATTGTAATTAAACAAAATATTTTTATTTTACATATTTTTTTATTATATTAACTTCAGTGAATTTTTAAATAAATTCTAAGAAAAAAATATATTTATATATTATTTAATTATATAATTAATTGCGCCTACACATAGAAGGAGAAAATAAATATAGATTATTGTTAAAAGTTTGAGGTGTGTATTTAACAAAACAAAAACCTAACAAATTTATTATATTGGATTTTAATGCTTTATACGTTAGATGAATTATTTACATAAATGCAAAGTGTAAATCTGGCATTGTAATGATTAGTCATTTTTTATCAAATTTTTACTTGTAATACTTTTTTTTTAAAATAAGTCTCTGTTTCATCTTTATATTCTAAAGAATATAAATGCATTGATAACACTTACATATTACGTGTTTCTTATAGTTTATATTTATTTCAGATAAAATTGTAAAAAAATGCAGTATTACAATAATTCAGCATGATTAAGGTATGAGTTTTATTTTTCTACAATAACTTGTTTTTCCATGTCCATATACAAATTAACATTTATTGCCAAACTAATAGTAATTTGGGAAATTTTTAGTTTTATAGTTTTTAGTAATTTATAGTTTTTAGTTTTAAGTTACATTTTTATAATGTTAAAACGACATATAGACGAAAATAACTATATTTACAAAAAATTTTGTGATTATATGATTGTATTTCCATTCTTACAGCATATCATATATCATAACCTGACGCTAATTTGATTTATCATGTCTTTGATTTTATAATAATTGTTATAAACGTTGTTAACAAAATTCGAATACATTTGAATTGTAGAGTGTTAGTTGTGAGATGCAATACACCACGAAATATTTTTATTCAAACATTAAATTAGTAAGACTTATTATTTAACTTATGATATTATTAAACATTTTTATTTTTATATAAAATATTATTTATGTAGTACGTAAATAAATAAATAAACAAATATATATTTTTCAGATTGTGCATTAATTTAC